ATAGCATTATGTACCCCATGTGAAGAAACTGGAGAATAGTAACAGTAGAGAATAAACAGCACAACTGAAAGCTCTAGAACAAAAAGAAGCAAACTCACCCCCAGAGGAGTAGACATCAGGATATAATCAAACTGAGGGCTGAAATCAATAAAGTGGAAACTAGGAAAACAATACAAAGAATCAGTGTAAGGAAGAGTTGGTTCTTTGAGAAAACTAACAAGATAGACAAAACTTTATCCAAACTTACCAAACGGCAGAATGTAACATGCAAATTAAGAAAATCAGAAATGAAAAGGGGTACATAACAACAGACAATAAGGAAATCCAGTGAAGCATTGAAAACCTACACACCCCAAAATTCGAATATTTAATGGAAATGGACAATTTTCTGTATAGATATCACTTACCAATATTAAATCAAGAACAGATAACCAATGTAAATAGACATAATCCCTAATGAAATATAATCAGTCATCAAAAGTTTCCCAACCAAATTAAGTTGGACCAGATGGCCTCAGCGAGAATTCTACCAGAAATTGAAGAACAGCTAATACCAATTCTCCTCAAAGATTCTATGCAATAGAAATCAAAGGGTCATTGCCAAACTCTCTTTATGAGGCTTCAATAACCTTGATACTCAAGCCAAACAAAGACACAACTAAGAAGGAGAACTTCAGACCAATATCCCTCATGAACATTGAAGCAAAATACTCAATAAAATACTGGCAAATCAAATCCAAGAACACATTTGAAAAATCATCCACCATCATCAAGTAGGCTTCATCCCAGAAATGCAGGGATGGTTCACCATAGGAAAATCCCTCAATGTAAACCACCATATAAACAAGCAGAGTAAGAAAAATCACATGATCATGTCACTAGATGCTGAAAAAGCATTTGACAAAATCCAACACCCTTTCATAATAAAGGTCTTGGAAAGATCCGAGATAACAGGAACATACCTAAACATAATAAAAGCAATACACAGCAAACCAACAGCCAACATCAAACTAAATGGAGAAAAAACTCCACACAATTCTGCTAAAATCAGGAACAAGACAAGGCTGTCCACTCTCTCCATACCTCTTCAATATTGTACTTGAAGTTCTAGCTAGAGCAATAAGACAATAAGCCAAAAGCAATCTACAGATTCAATGCAATCCCCATTGAAATCCCAGCATAATTCTTCACAGACTTTGAAAGAATGGTTCTCAACTTTATATGGAAATACAAAAGATCTAGGATAACCAAAACAACCATGTTCAACAAAGCAATGTCCAGAGGCTTCAGCATCTCTGATTTCAAGCTCTATTATAGAGCTATAGTACTGAAAACAGCTTGGTATTGGCACAAAAACAGACAGGTAGACAAATGGAATTCAACTGAAAACCCTGATATTAACCCACTCACCTATAAACACCTGATTTTCGACAAAGAAGCTAAAATTATACAATGGAAAAAAGAAAGCATCTTAAACAAATGGTGCTGGCAAAACTGGATGCTGGCATGTAGAAGACTGCAGATAGATCCCTACCTATGGCCATGCACAAAACTTAAATCCAAAAGCATCAAAGGCCTCAACACATATCCAGCTGCACTAAAACTCTTAGAAGGCAAGGTTGGTGGTACCCTGGAACGAATTGGTACAGGAGATCACTTCCAGAACATAATAACAGTAACTGAGATTGACAATTAAAAAATGTGATCTCCTGAAAGTGAAAAACTTTTGTAGGGCAAAGGGTACAGTCAACAAGACAAAAAGGCAGCCCACAGAATGGGAAAAGATATTCATTAGCCCCACATCTGACAGAGGACTGATCTCCAAAAAATACAAATAACTCAAGAAATTAGTCACCAAACACCAAATAATCCAATTAAAAACTGGGCTACAGAACTAACTAGGGCATTCTCAATAGAGGAACCTAAAATGGCTGGGAGACAATTAAGAAAGTGCTCAACATTCTTAGCCACCAGGGAAATGCAAATTAAAACAACTCTGAGATACCATCTCACTCCTGTCAGAATGGCTAAAATCTCAAACACCAATGACAGTTTATGCTGGAGAGGATGTAGAGAAAGGGGAACACTTCTCCACTGCTGGTGGGAGTGCCAACTCTTACAGCCACTTTGGAAATCAGTATGGAGACTCCTCAGGAAAATGGGAATCAGTATACCACAAGATCCAGCAATTCCACTGTTAGACATATACCCAAAAGATGCAAATTCAAACAGCAAGGACATCTGTTCCACTATGTTCATGGCAGCATTGTTTGTAATAGCCATAACCTGGAAGCCACCTAAGATGTTCCTCACATGAAGAATGGGTGGAGAAAATGAGGTCCAATTTACACAATGGAGTACTACTCGGTGGAAAAAATAAATCTTGAAATTTGCAGGCAAATTGATGGAACTAGAAGAAACCATCCTGAGTGAGGTAACCCAGTCACAAAAAAGACAAACATGGTATATCCTCACTCATTTATGGATTTTAGACCTAGTGCAAAGTAGTAGCAGCCTATAGTCCACACCATCAAAGAAGCTAGGAAACAAGGAGAACCCTAAGAGAGACATATATGGTCCCCAGGGGAAGGGGAAAGGGACAAGATCTCCTGTGCCAACTGGGAGTATGGGGGGGGAGGAGAGAGGGAGTTAGAAGAAAGAGAAGGGGGTAGGAGGACATGAAGGAGCAGGAAGGTCGAGTTAGGGGAAGACTAGAGGAGAACAAGAAAAGAGATATCATAATAGAGGGAGCCACTATAGTCTTAAAGAGAAATCTGGCATAGGGAAATGTCCAGAGATCTACAAGGATGACCCCAACTAACAATCTAAGCAATAGTAGGAGAGGCTACCTGAAAAGCCCTTCTCTAGTAATGAGATTGACGACTACCTTACACAGCATCCTAGAGCCTTCATCTAGCAGCTGATGGAAGCAGAAGCAGACACCCACAGCTAAACATTGAGCTGAACTCTGGAATCCAGTTGTAGAGAGGGAGGAGTGATGAGCAAATGGGTTAAGACCAGGCTGCAGAAACCCACAGAAACAGCTGTTCTGAAAAAGGAGGAGCTCATGAACCCCAGAATGATAGCTGGAAAAGCAGTAAAGGACTTTTCCAGACCTTCTGAATGAGGATGTCAGTTTGGAGGTCTGGTTAATCTATGGGGCCTCTGGTAGTGAATCCATATTTATCCTTAGTACAGGAATGGATTTGGGCAGCCTGGACACATGGGGGGGGGGCTCTAGGCCCTGCTCCAAATGATATGACAGACTTTGAGGATCCTCCATGGAAGGCCTCACCCTCCCAGGGGAGCAGAAACAGGATGGAATAGGGGGCCAGTGGTCGGGGGCAGGGGAGGAGTGGAGGGAGAGGGAACTGGGATTGACATTCAAAGGAGTTTGTCTCTAATTTAAATAAAAAAGAAAACACAAACATAGTACTGAATAAAATTTTGAGGAAAATTCAGGATTTGGAAACTGAATTCAGTACGAATTCAGTAGAAATTAAGATGGAATTAAAAAACTCAATGACCCAGTTAGAAATCTCAGGAGAAAGCCTTACAGCAGAAACAATAATGTAGAAGATATAATGAATTTAAGAGAACGTAGAGGAATCATACCAAGCAAACAAAGAATATAAAATGTTTTAAAATACACAAAAGCACAAAACAAGAACTGTGATATACAATAAAAAGACCAAACCATTGAATTATAAACATAAATTAAGAATTTCAGGCAAATAACAATAGACCAGTCAACAAAATCATAGAATACTTACCCAAATTAAGGTAAGACATACTCATATGGAACTAGATCCACAGAATACCAGATAGATAGGGTCAGAAAAGGAACTCTCCATGGTATACCACAGTAAAAAACATTTAAGTATATAGCACAAAAAATAGAATACTGAAAGCAGCAGGAGGAAAATCACAAGTCACATATAAAGCAAAATTCATCAGAATAACAGCTGATTTCTCATTGCAAATTTTAAAAGCTGAAGGAGTCCAGAGAAATGTAACCCACAAATGCCAACCTAGACTACAGAACCCCACAAAACATTCTGTCATACTTTAGAGAAAAACTTTTCATCATATAACAAGCTACAAAGAGGGCATCACTGCTGGTGTAGAGGAAGCATGTTTATCATGGCTGGCACATGGATGTACAAATCAGGGTGCCAGGGTGTATACTTTAAATGGGAGGTCTAGAAGAAAAAGAAAGTAAAGCACATACATATGACTTAATAGAAGTTCTATCTATCGCTTGGGGTGGCAGTGTTGCCCCCCTCAAAGCATAGGCTAACATAACCCCCAATGCCAGGCATAGTAAACATGTCAGGAGAATCCAAGAAACACCCAAACATTACAGGCTACAGCCTACGTGCCTTCTGGAAAAAGAAGTCAGTGTACTAACGCTGAAGGCACAACACTTTAGGAGAACCTACTATTGCCGCTTTGCTAAGCCAGTATAATTTCTAACTACATTCCAGACCCCATCAAAGAAGCCTCTCTCTGCAGCCGATAAACATAATTAGAGAAGCCACAGCTGCTCATAATGCAGAGAACTGCTAAGCTTGAAGTCACCATCTCCGACTGACACATTTACAAAATACTCTCTACACTTAGGACCTAGTGGACACTGTGGGAAAGGAGACAGAACAGCTGGAAGAGCCAGAGCACTAGGACATCTGCTGCAAGATAGTTTTCCTTTTTAAAGTTTACTTTAAAGAGGACAGAAAGCAGACAAGCAGAGCAGAGGGGCTGAATCTGTGGGAAGGAGGAGGAGGAGGAGTGAATGGGATTGCATAGAATTCTCAAAAATATAATAATTTTTTAAGTCAAGGCAGTTATCCTTCTCTATACGTAGAGTGCAGTTTATTTAATATATGATTTAAAATAAGTCAAAATCTAAATGACTGTTTGAAAAGAAGACAAACATTAGTTAAACACAAGTGAAGGAAGTGAAGTTTTAGCCTCATAAAACATGAAATGGAGTTCATTACCTACCACAGCACTCAGGGCACTTTGGATGTTTGAGGGCATTTATTCCATACCCTGGGTAGCAGCGGTTAACCCACACCATCTGAAGGGTTCCTTCAATGTAGTATATCTCAGGCAGCGGCTCCACACGTTTGCCCAGAACTTCTACTTGCTGATTAAAAAACCTCTCTATGAGATTTTTAGCCTACATTAGAAAAAGAAATTTAAAAATTAATTATCTATATGGTTAACATAAATTTAGAATAAATAATTAGGGGGAAAAGTCTCAAATTCTTTATTAGTTAAGATACACATAACACCCAAATGGGAAAGTCTTCCACTCATGCAAACACCTCAAATGTTTCCAAATGTACTTTTATTTTTACATGTGATAGAAATACCTGGTTTGTATTTAGCAACTCTTTCGTTCTTTTGAACTTTGAGTAATTTTACAGATAGACAACTGCGGAAAAATAAGTCAGATGCTTAAAAGTAAACACATTTATAAAATTTAATTTACTTAAAATATTTTATAAGCCACTGAGAAGTATGTCTTCTACCACCCCATTCCTTATTTTACAAAGGAAAATAGGCTTAGAAACAAGATAAAATGTGATTAAGTTCTGGTTCTTTGTTATAAAACTAAACTTACAAATAGTAAGACATCATTTTGACAGATAATCACCTTGATATCTACAATACTGGCCCTGACTTGGCTGCTAGGAGTAACAAGAAGCTATGTTTTCCTCTATGGAGTCACATGTCTACATGAAATATGAAATAGGTTCATGAACTCAAACCAAAAGCAAACCAGTTAGCTTCCTCTGCAACAGAAACCTGTACATCCAGACTATTCAGAAGCTAGGATAACTGGGCACTTCAACCTGTCCAACTCCTTTAAATACCTCCATATAAATAATTTCCTTGATAAATTTAAGAATTATTAAACCTTTTTAAATAAACTACATTGAACATAAATAGGAATCTTGTTTCTCTATTACTCAATTACTTACATGCTTTCACATATTAAGTATTTTGTAATTTTGATAAGCTCTGTCTAATGAATTTCATATTTACTCGGTCAAACATAAATTTCAGATAAGGAAGTACTGAAAGAATTAGTCACAGGGACTGGAGAGTTGGCTCAGCAGTTCAGAGCACTTGCTGGCTCTTACAGAGAGGACTTGACTTCCAGTCTCGGCCCCCACATGACAGTCCATATCTCCCTGGAACTGCAGTTCCGGGGGCTCCCCAGATCCCAGCACAAGGCCATGGAGTGCACTTGCATACATGCTGGCAAAACACCCATACACGGAAAAGCTTACATGCAATCTGATACCTAACTGCTAACATTTAAAATGCTGTCACAATTAAAAGTTTAGAGAGACACAAACCACAATCATGCAAAATCCTATGCAAAATAAAAGCAATCAAAAGCCTACAAAAAAAATTAAAGAAAACCCAATTATCTAGATCTGAGAACACTGACAGGCACATATCAGACTACTTTCCTCATTCCCTCCCTAAAAATTACAGACAAAAAACTTTATCATAAAAATAATAGTATTAAATACCCAAACAATTTCTGATACTGCATATTTTGATTGTACATGTATGGCTAATAATTTGTACCAAAAGGTAAATGGGAGGGATTTTGAACTGGGTAGAAATTATAAGTACATATGTACATTTTTAAACAATTTAAATGATATAAGAATTATGATAATTTTAAAACGTTTCCAAAACTAAAATTCTAGTTTGAGGCAACAAATATAACTAAATGAATATCAGATCTCTTGTGCTATTCCTCTTCTTCTCTCCATAAATCTTCACAGAACAGATAATTATATTGTACAATTAAATTGTTCTGCAATGACTAGAAATGCAATTATTTCAAAACAAACTTTAAAACAACCATTTGACAGAGACAAGTCTGACAATTTACTTTGAATATTGCAATTTCCTCCATTGGACCTGTCAGATAATACTGAATAAAATTATCTGAAAATGCTTTAATGCTTTTGTTGTAAGTTAGCTCACCAAATTCAGACGGAAACAATTGCCTAGATGTGTATGAGTTTCTGGAAAGGCAGTAAATATCATACATCAGACAAAATCAGGTTTTAATTTCACTAGATATCAAAGAGGATTTACCTCTAGACCAGCGGTTCTCACCCTACCAAATGCTTCAACCCTGTAATACAGTTCCTCATGTTGTGGTGATCCCCCAACACTAAAAATATTTTCATTGCTACTTCATAACTAATTTTGCTACTGTTATGCATCATAATGTAAATATCTATGTTTTCTGATAGTCTTAGGTAGCCCCTGTGAAAGGGTCATTTGTCCCCCCCAAAGGAGCCAAAACTCACAGGTTGAAAACCACTGTACTAGACAATTATTTGAATACTTTATGTAACATACTATTTAAGAATATATGGGGGATTTCTGCTCAGGTGTAGGCCATGCCAGCCAGAAGAACAGGTAGGGTGCCCGCCTACCCTCTAAACTGTCACACATCCTCAGTTCAGTTCCCACAGGCCCAAACTACTGCCACTCCTTCCCACCTCACTGTATGCCTCTCCCCCATTGCTGTGCCCCCGCTTCCATCTTTGGCAAATATCCAGTGCTTAGATGCAGGCCACTCCAGTGAGAATAACAGGTACAGGCCAGGCCAGCCAGAACAGGTAAACTCACTGCTGGATCACAGGCCATGCCAGCTGCCAGAACTCCATATAGGCAGCCCACCCACAGACCTCCTCCACCCCTCAGTGCCTGTCACACTAGTCCCAACCCCTTCTGCCCTCCTCATTACAGTATCCACCTTACAACTCAGGTAGAAACCCTCTGCTTAGCCAAAGGCCATGCTAGCCAACAGAAGTCCAGGCCACAAAGACCAGAAGACCAATGAGGAAACAGAAACCAAACAAAACACCCATCCACCATAAACAAACTCAGAAATCAACACCTAGTCCCATCATCAACCCAAACCCAGATGGATGACAGAGTCCAGCTTAAAAACACAGTCAGCAACAGCCAGCAAATATATCCCCATCAGAGCCCAGCTGCCCTACTACACCAAGCCCTAAAAATCCCATATCCTAAAACCAAACTTACAAAGATGATAGGAGTCCTTAAATAAGAAATGAATAAATCCCTTCAAGAAAATAAGAAAAAGACAAATGAAAAACTTACAGGAAATGAATAAATCACCCCCCCACACACACACAAACACACTGCCACCTCCCAAAACAACAATGAAATAATAGGAATTAACAATCAATTGTCATTAATACCTCTCCACATCAGTGGACTCAATTCCCCAATAAAAGGACACAGGCTCATATAATGGATGAAAAAACAGAATTCATCCTTCTACAGCATACAATAAACACACATCAACATCAAAGACAGACATTACCTCAAAGTAAAGGGTTGGAAAAATATTTCCCAAGCAGATGGACCTAAGAAACAAGTTGGTATAGAACAGACTTCAAACCAAAATTAATCAAAAAAGATAAGGAACAACATTTCGTACTCATCACAGGAAAAATACACAAAGAGGACATTGCAATTATTCACATCTATAACCTAAACACAAAGGCACCCACACTTGTAAAAGTTTAAACCACACAGCAACTGAAAGACCCTGGCCCAGTTTAAACAGGCAGCTGAGGCTTATGGAGAATTCCGTTCCCCCACAGCTACATAGTCATTGCCTATCAGAAGGGAGCTCAGTCCCAAGGACACAGGTTCTCGGGTATCTGCAGGTGGCCGGATGGCCAGCTCAGCAGGATTGAGCAAACACAGAGACCAATTGTTCCTCAGATAGGGCCACGGCCAAGACTTGAGTTCCAAGAAAAACCTCAATTGCCCAATCAGGGTCCTGTTACTAGGCTTCTCGCTTCTGTACTGCGCTTTTTGCTATAAAAGAACCCCTGAGTCCCCAGCTCGGCGCGCTCAGCTCCCCGAGACTGAGACGCCCGGGTACCCATATGTCACCAATAAAGCCTCTTGCTGTTGCATCCAAGTTCGTGGTCTCGCTGTTCCTTGGGTACGGGTCTCACTTCCGTGAAAGTATCCCTATTGGGGTCTTTCATTTGGTGCGTTGGCCGGGAATTTGAGACCCCGGCCCAGGGACCACCGACCCACTTCTGGGAGGTAAGAATTGTCCGGACTCAATTTCTGTTGTCTGCTGTCTGTCTTTGCCTGTTATTTTCTCGCGCCTGCGTCTGTAGTATACAGCTGTATGCATCTGTATCTGGCGGCACCGAGGAGGAACTGACGAGTTCATACTCCCAACCGCAGCTCCAGGAGACGTCCTGGTAGCGTCTGGAGTCCTTAAGGACTCATCTGGGTTAGGAGTAGATGTCTAGGAATCTGCCCCGTCTGTTTGGGGAAGTCCCGCTGGCCGATGGATTTTCCATCCTTGTAGGGGACGAGGACAGGAGCACGAGGCCCCCGTCCCCGAGCCCATCTGAATTTTTGCTTTTGACTTTACGTCAAAGCCGCGCAGCGAAAATCTGTTTGTGTTTCTTGTCTGTTCGTCCGTCTTAGTGTCGTTAGTCATCGCTCTCGAGGAGATGGGCCAGGCAGTTACCACTCCGCTCAGTCTGACCCTTTCACATTGGCAACAGGTTCAGGAGTACGCTCATAACCAGTCTGTCGATGTGCGCAAGACGAAATGGATCACCTTTTGCTCTTCTGAATGGCCAACTTTTGATGTTGGCTGGCCACGAGATGGCACCTTTAACCCTCAAATTATCTTCCAGGTGAAGGAAGACTTCCAGGTGGGGTCATGGATCCTGGACCCCAGGGCCACCCGGACCAAGTACCCTATATAGTTACCTGGGAAGCGCTGGTCTATGACCCTCCTCCCTGGGTGCGCCCCTTTGTGCACCCAGGAGGCCCCCCTCCTCCTCCTCCCTAACCCCCGCCAATTCCAACCCATCCGCATCCGCACCCCCCCTTCTGCCCCCTTTGACCCCCTCCCCGCATCCTCAGTCCTCCCATTCTGGCCTTTACCTCGCCGTAACTAAGCAGAAAGAGAAAAGAGGAGACCCTAAGGTCCTCCCTCCTGAAGACGGACTTCTGCTTGACCTCCTGACGGAGGAACCCCCACCGTACCAGGCTCCTCCAGCAGAACAGCCAGCAGCAGCAGCTGAGGCCCTACCATTGCCATCCGCCAATCCGGAGCCTTCACCT